GGCCACCACCTCAACTTTTCCTGCCTCTCCTTCCCACAGTGAACCCCTGTAAATGCTTGGGTGCACATCCTTCCAGTCATTTTTTTCATGCATTTACCTATTTTCCTATATATTTACCTATTTCTTGAATTCTAAGAGGCATACTTGCTTACACTTTAACAAATCGGAAAACAGAATGTGTTTGACCATCAGCGTCTCACAGTCATACCCGGCAATATTGTTTTTTATCCTAATGTCATATAAAATAAAGGTGCATCTGAAAATGTTGGCATAGATCCATAGAAAAGCCATATCATGGGGAATTTAGGGCGGAAAGGGTAACAAATGGTGGCACACTGCCCATAACATTCTGTAAATTAGTTTTTTCATTCCATGCTATTTCTATTCACATGAGTATATTCTTTTTATGGACTATATAATATTCCAAAGAATGGATATACCACTGGTAAAAGTGGAGCCATATTTCAGTCCATGGGCACTGAGATTCCCTTATTCTCCACTGTTACAAAAATGGGATGGCAAACCTCTTCTTAAAAGTCTCACATGGAAATTACCAAGAAGCTGAATTACTTTAAATATTGATTTTGTGTCTTAGTTTAAAGTGTGTATTTGACTTTCAATGGATACCGCAAGAGGCAGCCTGAAGCCCGGGCCTTCCTGCTTGGAGATGCTAAGGCCCCAGGCACCTGCTGCCTCCCTCCCAGCCTACAACACAGCTATACATAATCATACTGAGAATTCCCTCCAGGGCTCAGGCAGCCTCTTAATGCCATTATGTCCCCAATCCCTTCATTTCTGTCCCCCGCCACCTCCACTCCTGCAATTTGTGCCAGACGTTGTGGGAGGACAAGTTGTAATGTTCCACGTTGCTGCAAAAGCCCAGCATCCAATAAGACTGGAAAGCCAGTCTTGTAATTTTCCGACCTCATCTCCTCGGTACAACTAGGCCAGGCCACTGGCCCGTGGTCCAACCTGTGCCCCTGGTATGCTATTCTTGGCAAGGCGTTTGACCCCTCTGGGCCTGGTGAGATAATCTGTGGGGCAGCCCTCCCAACACCTCCCCGGGGCTCTTAGGAGGGGTAGCTGGGGCAAGGCATGGGGTGAGCACGAGGTGCGAATTTAAAAGCACTTTCTGCACTACCCCAGGCCCCCCAGCTGCCTCAGGAGCACACCACGCTCAGCCCTGCCCTCAGCTCCACACCCACTCTCCCTGCCCGTGCCCGCAGGCCTCTGGCTCCCTGTGTGAAAAGGCGGTGTAAGATGGAGGACTCTGTGCCCAACACACAGGCTGTGTGCCCCTCTCTGGACTGCCATGGTCTCCGGTCCAAGCAACTCAGGGCCCCCTGAGATTATACTCAGTGTAGCACCGTGCTAAATAGGCACAAACATCTACCAGTTACTGTGCAAACTCTGGTAACTTACCCAACCTACCTGTGCCTTGGTTTCCTCATTTGCAAAGTGACGGTGGTGGGATTATGGGATTATGGTGAAGAGCAAGTGAGCTGATACATGTAAGGAATGCAAAGCCGTGTCTGGCACACAGCAGCTGCCCCGTCAGTGCTGGCTGTTACGCGATCGTCCTTCAACCACCCCACTGGAAGTCTCCCCCACCACCCTTTTTATTTCCTCTGTGACACTTGCTACTATTTGAAAGCATTTTATGTCTTTATATTCAGTGGTCCATGCATTTATGATCTCCTGCCCTAGACTCTCGGCCCTCTGTGGGCAAGAACCACATCTGTCTGGTCATGTTCTAGGCCCCACATCTTGCCCACTGTCAGGAATGAAATAAATGAGGTAGGATTTTAAAAGCACTAATAAATGAGTGCTAATAAATGAGTTTGCAAAATGATTTGCTTCATTTCACAGACGAGAAGCCTGAGGCTCAGGGAGGCAGTACGGAGACATTAAGTCAGCTCCTCCTATGCACTGTGCCATCTATACCGGGTGTTTTGCTTATGAGATCTCATTTAAGCTTCCATTTCTGGAAGCAGGTGACTGGCCAGAAGTCTCCCATCTGATAAGAGGTGGGGCCCTTGTCTATGACGGGCTGACCCGACCCCCACTCCTTGTAGCCAGTGGCACGTGACTCAGCCTGCCAATCAGCACCTCCCATGCTTGGGCACAGTGATTGGCTCAGATCTGGGCCTGTGCTCCAGTCTGGTCCAGTGAAAAGCCTTCCCAGAAGTTTTGCAGAATTACTGCGAAACAGAAACTGGCTCCGGTTGCTAAGACTGGAGAGGATTTGCTTGAAAGGAGAACCCAAACAGAAGCAAAGCCCAGAGAGGAGAAGAAAGAAATTGAATTTAGCTCTTTGGATCCTAGCACTGCTTGAGTTTTCCAGCTACATGGACCAGGAACTCCTTTTCTTGTTTAAACAAGTTTGTATCACTTGCTTCCAAAAGACTCTTGACTGTTTCTAGACTGTGGCTCTGTCATCTGCACTGTGCTGAATTTGATGACCGCCCCCACACACACCTCGCCCCCGCCAAATACACACGCACCAAATATAATTCCAGCCCCTCGCCTAGGAGCCAAGCCCGTTACATCCCCAGAGCTCATCTGGAAGACAAAACTTAAGGTGCGCTTAGCAGGGGCGGCCACTGCTTGAAGCTCTTTAAATACACCCTCCCATTTCACCCTTGGAATCTCCTTGTGAAGAGAGGTGACAGTCATTCTCATTTTGACCGTGAGGGAACTGAGGCTGAGCGGTATAGGGACGTGCCTAGTCGGCAGGGGAATTGGGGGTTAGACGCAGGGCTGAGGGCTCACGGATGAACACACTCTGGATGTGAGTTTTGCCTGTTTCTCAAAGTCCTGGAGCACGCAGGCTTGTTGCGTTATCAAGTTTCACAAAAAGCCAGACCAGCACCCACTGCAGTGAGCCATCCACTTTACCTACAGACATGGTAAGTGGGCTAAATGGCAGCCCAGCAAAGGGCCATAGATGTGACTGCATCTAAGAGAGGCCGCAAGGAGTGGAAGAGGAGACTAGCAGTGACTGAGAGTGACTGTGCGGCTGGCATTTCCACATCAGATCGTTTTTCATGTAACATGGAGATCCTACAGCAAGCAGGAAACCATGTAGGTGCCAGGTAGGGTCAGCTCTCTCACCCAGCCAGTTTGTGGAATCCTGGCCATGCCCACTCATGCTTTTGACTTCTCATTTTGTTAGATGTGAAGACTAAGGCTCAGAGAGTCTAAGACACCTATCCCAGGAGCACAGAAGGTCCTGGTAAGGGTCTGAGCTGGGATTTGACTCCCATCTCCCTCACTTCAAGGGCAAGAACTCTTGATTAGTCTTGAAACAATGTCTAAGAGTTCTCTCCAAAGCAGCTTGGGGCTGAGAACACGTAGTTTATGGTACCCCACCTTCCCCCCTTCAGTGGGACTTAATGCAATGGGGGGCTGAGCTGTACTGTATCAGCTCACAAGAGCCATCTGTTAAGTTGTTAGGAATTCGGAGAGCCAGTTGACATCACACTGATAGCTTAAAATTGACCACAGCAGGAGTATTTCACCACAGACGTCAGCAAATGCTGCAAATCAAGACTTCCCCCTTCCAGAGAGCCATTCCCAGCATGCCATTGGACCACAGAGAAAGAACTCTGGCTTGTTCACTTATTCATTCATGCAACAAATATAAATTGCGTTCCCCCCTTTAATATAATACAGTTTTCATTCACTCTCCTACCTGCTCAGCAAACCTCGGCTCATAGCCTAGTATTTGCCAGGCTCTGTGCTGGCAAATACTGGGAATACCACTGTGGCAAAGCAGACTTGGTTGCTGACCTCACAGAACATTTAATGAGGGAGCCAGATTCTAACTCAAAAAGTGTCACACAGCATGTACTATGAGTAGGAGCTGACCAAGTCAAGCTGGCCAATGGGAGCAGGGAGACTCCAGGTAGAGGGAATGGCCTGTGCAAAGTCCCTGGGGCAGCAGAAATTTGGCATGTTCCAGGAACTGCCCCAAGGCTAGCAGAGCCAGAGAAGAAAGAGCAGAGGAGAGGGGCATCAGAGCAGCCCTTGTGGACCATGCTAGGGACTTGTCTTTATTCTGAGCATCACATCCCCAAGCCTCAGCAAGTCTAGCAGAAACTGTCCACACTTTCCAAGGTCCGTAGAACTCCATCCATCCTCATTTTCCTCCTCAGATCCTTTCCTGTGGTACCTCTCTGGGCCTAAGTTTCCCCATTGGAAAATGAAGATAAAAAGGGAGGTGAGAACTTCACAGGGTGACAGTGGGATTCAATGATGACGTAGATGAAAGGCAATTAAGCTCCATGTCTGGCTGGCTGCAAACATCATCAAACTGAACTATTTATTATAATTAGCTTCCCTCATCCCTCAAGTGTTTGTTTCAGTCCGTCTGCATTGTGGCCTTCAGTCCTCAGCCCTTCTGAGTTGGACACTGGGGAATCAGCCATGAACAGGACAGACACACAGCCCTGGAGAGGTGGGGCAGGGGGGGATCTCTGCCCCCTGATTGCCTTCTGTGAATCATTCAATAAATATTTACTGCATTGCTGCTAGTGCCAAGCACTTGTTTTCATGCCGAGGATACGATGTGGGCTGTGCCTCCAGATCTAGGGCCTCTCTTTACAACATTCAGCTTCCCAGTCTGGTTTAGCAGCCTCCCGGAGCTCCCACCCTCATGCTTGTCACTATGAAATGTACGTAAGCATTTCCATTTCCATGTCTGCCTGTCTGTGAATATCTTGAGGGCATGGCCTGGGTCTTAATCATCAGTGAGGTGCCTGGCGCATAGAAAGCCTGCCTCCAGCGTTTGTTGAGTGAATCCTAAACCACACTGTACTACAGCTGGAGTAAGAGAGGCCCTGCGCCCGCTCTTAACCCCACTCGCTCCTCTGCCCGGGGTCAAGAGGCTTCCCCGCTCCACCCTCCTCAGTGCCCCGGCCCTGCGGTTTGGAGAAGAGCCCCAAAACTGGTGTCCAGACCAGGGTTCTTCCCTCCATCCCCAGCCTCCCGGGACTCACTGAGAAGTTGGCGGCTCGAGTCGCTGACGGTCACATTCTCCTGCCAGAAGGGGTTCATCAGCGGCGCGCACGGGCTCTGGACTGGACGGGGTGGAGAAATCAGCGGGCGGGAGCCTGGGCTGCGGCCCCCGCCCGCGCCTCCGCAGAGGGCCCACTGCAGACGCCCCGCACCCTGGGGGCGCACGGAGGGTCCGAGCAGCACCCCTCCGAAGGGCGGCCCCGGCCCTCGGCCCCCTTGCCTCCCGCCCGGACGCCGCGTTTAGTGCGCTGGGGCTTGCGAGCAACAGGTGCGGTGAGCAGGGCCAGGTGCGCGCCCCCCTCCCGCCCGGGCCCCGCGTGCGCCCGTACCCCGGCAGGTCCGCCAGAGGCCGGAGTGCGAGCTCAGGGGCTCCGGCTGGCTGCGGTTGGCCGCCCCCGGGCCGCTGCGCTCCAGCCGCTCGGTGTCGATGATGTACCAGAAGTCCGTGCCGATGGCGGCCGCCAGGAGCACGAAGCTGAGCGCGCCGGACAGCGCCGCCGCGCCGGACAGCACGCCCAGGTGCAGCCGCATCGCGCGGCCGGGACCCCGACACTCCGCGCCGGGCTGCACCCCGGCCGCTGACCGCGACCCGTCGGCCGCCCTGGCGCCGCCCCACCTGGGCGCTCACCCCCACTCCCAGCCCCCCCACACCACTGCTCCGGCGAGACTCACCTCCGCCTGCAGACCCTCATCGGAGCCTCCACCCCTCCCCAGCCCTCGCCTCACCCCCCAGACTCCGCTCCGGCCCTGCACGCCCACTCCTCACTTGCTCCCAGACCCTTCTCCTTCCCCTCACTCCCCACGAGCCTCCAGCTCTGGTCCACTCTGCCCTGCAACCCAACTGGCCCTCCCACACACTGCCTCACTCCCTAAGTCCAGCCTGGCGTCCCCTCGGTCTCCCTTCCGCACCCCCACCCGCTCCCCCACCGCACACACCGACCTCACGCCCCTCCTCCTGGGTGCCCGCCCAGCCTGCCCGAGCTGGGGGTGTGCCGAAGGGAGGGCGGCCTTTCCACAATGTGGGAGGGTAAGACGAGGGGCTCCTGAGCAGGACAGTCCCAGCCAGGAGCCCTCCTCCCTCCCGCTTCCTCCAAAATCCACCTTCAGTCACTTTTTCTAGGATGGCTACAGAGGGAAAAAGGCAGAGCTGTTTTTTCTAGAAGTCCCTTAAAGCAATGGGCTGGGCCAGGTCCCCTGAGTCTAGCATCTCCACTGCCATTGGTAGAGATGGTGATGGTGGAAAAGGTCTTCATGACCAGTGAGGTCACCACCAGCACTACCATAACCACCACCGCCACCGCCACCACCATTCTCTCCTTTATCGTAGCAGTCACCCTCCGTGCATCACTGCAGGGGAAGCAGCCAGAGCTGCTGGTGGCTTGGGCTAGGCTGGTGGCAGTGGCGGGCACAGTATGAAGCAAATTCATTTGTTTTTAACTGAGGTGGGTAGGGTTGATAGATTTGGCAATTAATAGGCTAGGGCTGAGAATTATTCTTTTCCTTGTTGCTTGATTCTCCTTTACCAACACCCTCAATCTTCATCGTCGGCATCGTCACCTTCATAATCAGCGGCATCACCACCCAGAGCATACTCTCCCCTTGATCCTGGACACCGTTCCACCCCATCATGCCTTCAACCACCACGGCGACTAACTGTGCTTTCCCGTGACCACCACCACTGCTGGCTTTGTTTCAGCTCCACCATACCAGCGCTTTTATCTCCATTTGCACCCTCGTCAGAACTGTCCTTAGGTGATCCATAAACACCAGGGAGTCAAGATGAAGGTAAAATTTAGTGAGGCTGGTAGCTTGGATACCCAGAAAATGAACTAAGATACGATATGAGGAGGAGCTTCCGGCATCAGCACTCTCTGGAGGACTTGTGCCAGGGGATGATCATCAAAAAGCCTCCACAGGGATCCAGACAATGCTGCGGTTGTGGCTGCATCCAGCCCACCGTCTCCTGGACTTGCCATAGGAATGAGGAGGGAGATGTCTAGGCTGGCATGTGCATACAGTGAGACAACGAATTTGACTGGATCTGTACTGTTGGAACTCAACCAGGAGTTGGGAGGGGTGCAAGGTGTAGCACTCCAAAATCTTA